GGTTATGAATGTGGCCGAGTTTTGGGTTCCTAGGCCACCAAGCCAAAATGAGGTATAACTCGCTTCAAAATCCATAATTTAAGAGTCTGAATATTGATTCAAGTTAGTCACAATTCGAGCTTTTAAACCATATGCAACATGATGGGCTAGTTTTTCCGGTTTCTAGGCCACCAATCTAAGATGGCATAGGAATCCAAATTTTTGCGAAAACTAGGCCATGTTGCATGATTGGAAAGCCCGAATTGTGACGAATTCGACCAAGTATTTAGATTTTCAAAATATGGATTTTGAAGCGAGGTATAAGCCAATTCAGTTGGTGGCCTAGAAACCCAAACTCGGCCACATTCATAACCCGCGGCCGCCTGGATACCCCCGAAACTAAAATTAAACTAAAATCGATAGATGCAACACACACCACGAACTGATCCCGAATCTCAATCGCCACTTCGTTGACTTCCACTTGATTTGCGTCGTTCTCGTCGAACAGCTTGGATGCTTGAATTGGCTCCTGACACACTTCTACAGTACCATTCACGGCTGCGGGAGATGGTGATTTCTAAAAAGGCTAAGCATAGGGAGGAGAACTGAGAGAAAGAGGTTTCATGCAGAACGTGCTTGGGAGGATATTTGAAAAATAAAAATTACTTTTTCAGTTGGAGATTCAGGAGATTTTTCCTCTTCGGCAGGTTCTCCAGATGTGCTTGCATGACCGTTGACCATCACACCGTTGGCAGCAGGTTCTGCCTGAAGCGCTTCTGATGACGACGATGGCTCTGTTAGCATTTTCCTCATTAGTGGATTCTGATCCAGAGGAGCCGCTTGTGCCGATCCAGCTGGAGCCAGACGATGAGGACGGACTAGTCGAATGCCTTGCGCCACAATCATAACTCCATTCTGAGCCATTCGGAAGTTGACATCCGGATACAAGTTCTTCATGACTCCACTGAACATTGCCAGACTTCCACTCATCGAATGATGATAGGTCCTCAAATCGTCAACATACGCAGCGTAGAGCTCCCCGCGTGCAGTCGACATTGCCGGTTCGAATACACAGTTCTGTTTGATCCATTTCTCAGTGAGCAGTTCTAGTTGGCCTTCGCCCGAGTTGGCGTTAGAAGGTGCGATAGGCTTCACGGGCAGCGTTCCAGTTCTTCTATCGAATTTCCCATTGGGTGGGTGGGAATAGTGCGAGTTTGCGGGATGAGGAGCTGGTGCAATTTGTGGATTCATTTGCTGTTGAGCTTGTTGTAGAGCCAGATTATTCTGAATCACTTGGCGAACGGTCATTGGTGGTTGTTGTTGGGCTGGATGAGGAGCTTGATGAGGAGTTTGGTGATGTTGATGGCTGGGTCCTGGAACCATTCGCTGGGCGTATTGATGGTGTTGAACTTGTTGTTGCTGTGGATGTTGTTGTTGTTGTGATGGGGCAGGGTGCCCAAAGTTGGGTTGATACTCGACAACTTTCATTCCAGCAAGGCCGGCTGGACCAAACGACACCGCTTCAAGTGTTGCCATGGAGACCAGCTGTTGGATTGATTTCGCCGACTCGGAGAGCATATCACACGCGGTGTCTCCCATTTCAGAGATCTGATAGAGACACTCCAGCACGTAGACACACATCATGATATCCTTGACTCCGACGATTTCATAAATATGAGCAATGATTTCCGGTTTCAGCCAATCGCAAATTATAGTTTCGTTTCCTTCGAAACTACAAAGACCCGTTAGGATTTCCATGGCTCTGATTAGTTTCAGTTTGTCGGGACTGAAGATGCATTCGTTGATTATGCGAAGGATTGCATGTTGCGAGACGTAGACTAGTGCTTTGTCAGTGAGATCGATCTGAAAATGATTGAGTTTTGAACCACCGTTTGGAGCTTAATTATCTCGGTTCCTATGAGAGATATCATAATTTTGTCAACTACAAAATGTTTATCATTATATCAGCTACATTTTATCAGTAGACAACTTTCTGATATCTTTTGAAAGAACCGAGATAATTAATTCAAAAAAAAACTCACATCAGTTGCCAAGTTGCTGATCGTATCAAGTGCAGCGACATTCAGCGGAGACCATTTACTATATGCACACATTATGAGGAACTTCATTACAGGCCACGACTTCACCATAGTGACCCGATTCACAGCTTCGAAAGATAGATTTCGAATAACGGTGATAACTTGATTCAGTCGCCAACATCGTGTATCCTTAACATCGTACTTATGAGAGACTCCCGTGAAAAATGGGTCATCATCGTCCACGTATTCAGACTCGATTTCTCGGTCTAGGAATGCCATAAGGAGATCCAAAGGGACACCGGATTGAGCCCAAAAGCTTCGGAAATCGTGGCGAGTCGTTTTGGCCCAGTCGACACCGAGATCTTTCATAGATTTGTCTTCTTCTGGAAATTTTTAGTTTTAGAGATGTCATTTTACTTTCGAACATCATAAAACCCCTATTAGAAGGGCCCCTCTAATAAAAAGGCCTTCTTCGAAATGTGTTGTTTGAAATTTCGGGAAAAAAATTTCCAGAAAAATATAAGATCCCCTCTAATAGAAGGGCACTCCAGAGGTGCCTTGAAACCATAGAAATACATCAAAGAAACACTCACCATCATAAACACCCGTATGCGCTACCAACAAGGTAAGAAGATGTGGCGCGTGACTTATCCGAATCTGCTTTGGACCGGCATGTGATAATAGCATACATACATTCATCGCAAAGTCTATCTCATTCGGCAACCCCGACAACAACGATTTCGTGAGTCTCGCATAGTCCGGATCATTGATAATCTGTCCTCGCTCGTCCCGATAAGTCTGCACTATATGATGCCGCTCAATGCTCATTGGATTATCGTTCGTGGCGAAAAACGAAGTGGCATTCCTCCCTCGACTTCTCGACATCTCATTATCCACATAGTCATCAACATCTCCGATCGTTTCGACTTGTTCGAATTTCGATAAATACCTCATATAGATCAATTTAATCGCATGATCACCACACAAAATGTCGTCTTTGCAGCCGAACATTTCAGCGATATCCGACCATTTATCGCCGGCCGCCACTTTCTGCCAACCACCCAACGCCATCACTGTATCATAGAGACGATAGAGGTTGACTTCAACTCCTTGCACGTGTGGCAGCTTCAGTTGAGCGTTCCATCGTCGTTTGTAGAATAGACGGAGACTGTTGTAGAATTCGGCCATCTTCTTCTGCTTCTCTGGCGGATCCGTCAATTTGTCGATGTAGAGCTCGAGCTCGGATTTTCGTTTTCGACTCTCCATCGTTATGTGTGTATATGGCTCTGGAAATTGATCATTGGGAAAGGTAAAAGATCTTCTAAAAGAGGTAAAAAGTGAGGGAAGGCGGATAAGCGCTTGTGAGCGAAAATTTCCTTTAGAGGCGCATGGCCGAAGGGAATAGCTACGGATTTTTACAAATGAATTCGTTTGAAACAGTAACTATAAGTAAATTCATCTGATTATTCAGGAGAATCTGAAGAATTTGGGCAAAAATATGATAATTCCGAAGTACTGTATTAAAGGCTCATGAAGCTTTCTTCATGACCGGCTATGCGGAAGTTCATCGGCACCGGACAAGAATAATATCAAACTGTGATGTTGAGTTGACCTAAAAACCTAAAAATCAATACTCCTGAAAATTATCGATTTTTCACGCGAAATTTGAATTTCACGTAAAATTCGCATTCACGCGTGTGAAACTCACGTTTGAACGCGGCGCAAACGTGGGATTTTCGCGCGCGCGAAATTTGAATTTACGTGTGCCCGCCTCTCTTCTGAAGAGACGAACCGAGGTAGAAAGCCTCTAGAACGGAAAAAAAACCTATTTTCAGGAAAACCAAAATTTTCTATCACTTCCTCACAAGACGATGCGCATAAACAAAGAAAAGCCAGATTGAATAAACAGCGAACGGAATCGATGAGGATGAGAACGGGTGACGACAGGACAGGTGGTCTCAATTGGTATATACTAGTCCAGGCGGGGCTTAACGAGCTGTCGTAAAACCACAAGGACTACAAAATTAGAGGATCTTTCCCCTATTTTTCTAGATTTTCATATAGTAAGATTCTGGCGGAGACGCAGACGCTCTGTATATCTTTTTCGGCGCCAATTGGAAACATTTGAAATTTCTCTTCCTTCTCAACTTTGTTTATTCTGCTTTCTTCTGCACCTCACTGTATTTTTTAGCGTTTAAAAAAAATTGAAGAACAGATAGAGAAAGAGGGGGAGAAGAAGAAGAAGGAGGCGGAGTTCGGGGTCAGTGTGAAAGAGAAGCGAGAGAATTATTTGAACGCGTACTCCTCTAGATATGAATGCGAGGCGGCGGCGGGGACCTCCTCTGATACGCGCGCGCGCTCCACAGAAGCGCCAAGTTCAAATACCTGCAGTGCAGGACTTGTTGTCTGCAAGAAGAGGAAGAAGAGGTAGAAAACGGAGGATCGTAGGGTGCCCTGTCTTTTTTGAAAATGGGGTTACGAGGCGCTGCGTGTGTGCGTCGCGGTTCTGGGGGGGGGGAAGAGAGGGAAGAAGGAACACACAGCAGGCCCGCGTTTTGTGTGTGCGTGCTGGGTGTGTGAGCGATTGATCGACCAAGAGAGACAGCAGGCAGTGGTGGAGGCCAGGGTCGTCGCTTTTCTCACTGGTCACTGGCTTACGCATGATGTGTGTATGTCCAAGCGTCGCGTCTGGTGAATGGGAGGGGAGAAAATACGCTCTGCTGCAAAACGCTTATTATGCCACATTTATATGCGAACATCTGCTATATATGGCTAGGGAGAGGAAATTTGAAACCAGAAGAAAGATACTAAGATTTTTGAGTCTCTTTTTTTGGGAAACTGGTAGAGGTTTTATGATGTACTACATTGAAAAGAGGTTTTTTTTGTTTAACGATCATTCACTTTGCCATGGAAAACTGTAAATCGGGTAAAAACCCCAAAAAAAATCGAAAGAAATAAGAAGTCAATAAACATCCCAACATTTCAACAAAATTAAAGGTGCATGCCCAAATTTTGTCAGTTGGGTCCTGCCACGAAATACAAGATTTAGACAAAATTCTGCAATTTTTAAGCGAATTAGTTGGTTTTTCGGAAGAACTTTAAATTTAGTACGCTTTTCTTTTCATGGAGCTTTTTTTGTCAACAAATTCCACAATGAAAAAATATGAATTCGCTGTAAAAATAAAAAAAAATACTGGAAATCCACAAGCAGAACATTTCTACAAAATTAAAGGCGCATACACAAATTTTGTCTTTTGGACTCTGCCAAGAAATTCAAAATTTTGCGATATTCAAGCGAAAAACTTGGTTTTCTGGAAGAATTCTTACTTTTTTGTGCCGTTAATAACATAAATCAAATTTTAAAGCAAAAATCTGATAGATAAACAAGAAGAAAATTCAGGAAGAGGCGTCAAAAAATTGAAACTCATCAAATGTACCAAAAACTCACCAAATCTACCAAAGACGCACATGAATAAAATATTAAAGAGTATCGCGATATATACAGTATACTTTGAAAAAATATTTTTGAAATTTGTTTTTCGGAATTCTGAAAAACGAGGGAAAACTATTCAAAAACTTCATTCATTTGTGAAGTTCTGCGCTTTGCGCCATCAATCAAAAATACACAATTCGAAAAAACGATTCAAAAAAATCTATTCAAAAAAAAAACGAAAAAAGAATTTATTCGCTATCCCGATTCTGTCTATTCAATGGAACCATTTCCGTCGAGCCACCGTTCTTCTGTTTCCTCTCCCCATTCATCACTTTCTTGCTGTCGAATAGCATCTCGTCGATTTTGTTGAATGGTTTTTCGAATGCAAGCGAGAAGAGTAGTGCGACGCAATACGAGGCTACAACTGCTTCAACTGTGTAGCGGACCTGGAAAATTTTAATTGATATTCATAAAAAATTGCCAAAACTAACCATCTGAATAAAAGTGGTAAAATGGAATGGCTGGGGTCTGCTCAAATTGTAAATCTGAAGCATAATTGGATGAAGTAAATATGCGCAGAACGTAGTTTTCGATAATGGAACGAAGAATCTCCAGGAGAGAATGGTGTCAACCGGACCACCATTTCCAGTAGTACATGCGAAAACCACCCATCCAAGGGCTAAAGAATATGCAGGAGTTCCAAAAATAGTGTAAAGAATCTCCCAGGGTTTGGAGATATCTCCAGTTTTAGCGAAATTATACAATCCAAAGACCGCATAAAGTCCTAAAACTGTTGATGTGCACCATCCAATTAGAACAGTTTTCGGAGTAAGCTTGATTTTCAAATCCTTTTGATCTTTGGTAGTCCACGCATTCAGAAGATATCCGACAACGACGCCAATGATGAACGGTGTGCATCTGATGTATGGTCGTACGTAGACATCGTTCCAGTAGTCGTTTAGAATGTGAACGCTGAAATACAATTTGATGAACTCCTTTTTTTCTGATTTCTGATGATGACCTTGTAGAGCGGAAGATTTCTTGTAATTCTGTCAATAAACCAACGTTCTGCGCCGTCTAGGAACCGAGATACAGCGCTTTGAAGCTTAAAAGTATAGAGACGCAGTGTGTCTCGTCGTCTGGCGTCTCTAGCCTTCAAAGCTTCAAATCGCTGTTTCTCGGTTCCTAGATGAGCTAGGAGATTGATAATTAAACAGAAGTTCTGGAAAATTAGTGGAATTTCTGAGGTTATAAAATTGAAAAAAAAATTGAAAAATTGAGTTTTTTTCAAATTTTTTCACTGCATATTTCTTGCTAAACTAGAACGTTCTAAGCCGACCGAGATACAGCCATTTGAAGTTTTGGAGGTAAGAGACACAGATGACGAAACAGACTGCGTCTCTAGTCTCCTGAAATCCAAAGTGCCGTTTCTCGGCTTCTAGATATTTGATGGGAAAAGTTCCTAAACATTTTTTCGGTCCTATCCCCGCTTTAAATAATTGACTTACATCTGAAGCTTCGCAGTTAGCAGTGGAGCTGGTGGGTATCCTTTGACTTGAGTAATAATTAGTCTAATTATCGACGAAGCGCCAATTAGTCCAGTCGACAACCAGAGCCCAATTTTCATTCCGAATTTTAAGAAGACAATCACGATGAGGGGCATTAAAACCAAATGGAATTGCATGTCATTAGCCAGGTACCAAGTCCAACCCATGCACTGAAATTGAAGAAAATCAGAAAAGACTGGCATATTTTAGAGACTCACACATTCCTCCTCTTGCAACAAAAAGTTGTTGAGATAGATGAAATTCGTCCACCAAGCAATTCGACATCCCTGTCTTTCAATTGGTCTCCAGAATGGACCATTTGAGATGTATGTGAATAGGGTAACATCGAAAAGCATCACAACCACATATGTTGGAGTGATTCGGATGTATCTTTTGATGAAGTATAATGGCCACGTTTGCCAGTTGAGAGCACTTAGTCTTGGTGGATGGTTCGGGTCGGCTTTCATTGTTTTCTTGAAGAATGAGAAGGCAGCCAACATTCCACTGTAAATGGTCTTATATCTCGGTTCCTATGAGAGATATAAAAAAAATTATCAACTAATAAAATGTTTATCATAATATCACCAATCATTTATGAGTTGACAAGATTTTGATATCTTCCACAGAAACTGAGGTAATTGAGCTCAACGTGCACTTAGGATATTGTTAATGGTGAATAGTCAATTTTGAAGTCCTATGAAAGTAGTTCATTAATTTCCAAACTGTCTGGAAATTCCAGAGTATACTAAACAAAAATAGAGATTTATTTTTGTAATTGACAACTTTTTTGTTTAAGTTCAACAAATCGAGATATGCTGTTCTAAAGTGACACAACAGAGCTAGGTTTGTCATCCTCGACACTTTTTGGGTTACAAACGGATTATTGCTAGTTTCAGATCGAAAACATAGATTTCAAAATTACTGAAAGCACTAAAGTTTTTTTCCAGAACAAATATGTGAAAAACACAGTAATACTGTACTCGGAAAGCCCCCAAAATCCTAAAACTCCGAAATTCTCAATACCGTATCTCCTCTAATGCTCACAAAATTTTGAGCCCCTATATCTAACTTCCTGTTAATGATATCAAAAAGTTGTTAACTGATGAAATATTTACCATAATATCAGCAACATTTTATCAGTTGACAAATTTTTGATATCTTTCACAGGAATCGAGATAATTGACCTCGAAGTTGATAATATGAATGGGCCCGAAATTTGAGCCTACAAAAGGTTCAAAATTTTAAGATTAATTATCTCGGCTCATTTGAAAGATATCAAAAATCAGTAAATTCATGAATTATTTACCATAATGTCCTCTACATTTTATCAGTTGGCAGATTTTCGATATCTTTTACAGGAACAGAGATAAATGAGCTCAAAGTTGACGGGTTGGAGGGCTTCTATTAGAGGGAACGGTATCTGCGTTTTAAAATTATAAGGTTTGAAAACTGTTTTTTTGGATTTAAGATTACGAGATTCCAATTTTTGATTTGAAATTCAGATGTTCAAATGAAGAACGCAACCAACCTCAAAAAGAAGAACGAATCCACGGCCAACGGCGCCTGAACGATGATTTGAGTGTGCCATTGTTGTGGGAAATTGATAAGCGTTGGCACCAAATTATCAGTAGTCAACGAAGTTCCAATATAATAATAGGTGTGTCCCAAAATGATCCAACACATGCTCAAAAATCTGACTCCATGAAGTGAATTGATCTCTTTCTCGTTTCTTTTCGAAGTAAGGATCTCCAATCCATTGGTATATGCCGAGAAGGCCAGAATGAATTGGATGAACCAATCTGGAAAAGTTTAAATTTTGAATTACTGTAGTTCGATTCTTGGAAAAAGTTTACGCTTGAAAGCTTTGCTCTGTTCGGCTTCTTCTGGATATTTCGAAACAATTAGGAGGTCTAAAAATGTTCCAAATGCGACAAGGACCACAGTAGCAATCAGGAAATATCTGAAAGTTTCAAGTGTTCAACAGAGCGCATTTGCCTGAAGCTTACAAAGCAAACATGGCCAATCCATTCTCACTCATTGCATCTGAATAGTTTTCAGCACGACATTCAACATCCACATTGCAAACTGACTTGGTTCCAGCTGCCGCCTCAGTAGCTCGAATCGCTGGAAACGGGGATTGGCGTTACTGTAGAATCCTCGATTTGGGGTACTGTAGTCCTTACCAAAAGTCAACATCCGTTTCACATCATGATTTGTGCAAGTGTTCGGCATACATACACCAAATTTAAGAACTGGGAACAGAGCAAAGCAGGAATCATCGTCTACCACACTTTTCTCGTTTTTCTCACTAAAATGTTTTGTGATTTGTGTTGTTCATTAGAGCGAACTTGTATTATCACTCACTAACAATGACGATCTGGTGCTCCAGACATCATGTTTCCAAAATAAACCAATGGATTATCCCGTTCATAGGCGTCAATTGTAGCCAGACAGTATTGTCCCTTCCATTTTTGGCTGAAAAACCTTATTTTAATAGTGTTAACTTCGAGCTCAATTATCTCGAATCTTGTAAAAGATATCAAAAAGTGATCGATTGACGAAATGTTTATCGTGAAACCAAAAACATTTTGTTTGTTGACGTCTTTTTGATAGCTCTAACAGTAATCGAGATAATCAAGCTCAAAGTTAGGAGTTCATCTAGGTGATAGCTAGAAAATATACCTTTAACTTTGAGCTAACTTGTAAGTTATCTTGGTTCTTGTGAATGATATCAAAAAGTAATCAACTGACAAATTGTTTATTATAATATCAGAAACATTTTGTCAGTTGACCGCTTTTTGATATCTTTCACAGGAACCAAGATATATGGGCTCAATGCTAGGAGTTCCCATTATCACAATTTCTAGGTTTTGCATTAAAGGTGGGGGGACAGGAGATTTTTCGTAGTTTTTTTGTAGCTAGAGTATGCATTCTACCGTCACGGTGTACAACGCTTAATGTCACTCTGCTTACAGCTGTCGTCCTCGCCTTTATGTATGCAATCGGGCGTGAGCTTTTTCTTTGCCCGCGTGGCTCAGTCGGTAGCGGTGCCGCACCCTCAATCATCGCCCTCACAAGTTCAACTCCTCGAGAGGCATCTTTGAACGGAATTTCGAGAACATTATTTTTTTCATGTCCCCCCACCTTTAATTTTTTTTCGAGTTCTCATAGAATACCAGAAAATATAACTTTATTTTTCATTGTAGTTTTTCATAAATTATCGAAAAATAAGACAATATTGATCAACTTTTTTTTAATCTTCAAAGTTTTCCAATTAAACAAAATACCCATAACATCTGACTACCGTATTTTCTTTAATGGTAACCCTCCCATACCGTTAACTTTGACCTCAATTATCTCGATTCCTGTAAGAGCTATCAAACAGTAGTTAACTAACAAACTATAGCTGACATTATCACAAACATTTTATCAGTTGATCACTTTTCGATATCTCCTACAGAAACTAAGATAAATTGAAGCGAAATTGACGACTAGGGCGCCCGCGCTTCGGAAGAAAGGCGCAAGAAAGCTGGAGCGGCTACTCGCCTGCGTCCTCTTCAACCCTAGTTATCTCGTTTCCTTTGAAAGATATGAAGAAGTGGTCAACCAACAAAATGCTTGTTATAATATGAAAAATATTTTTTCAGTTGACTACTTTTTGATATCTTTCATAGGAACCGAGATAGTTGAGCTCAAAGTTAGGTGTACCGTAGTCGTTTACGATTTGATTGGGCAAATAGAAGAAATCAGGTATCTTTGTCGGGATACTGTAGTAACTCACCCCTGAGCATTCTTGACGACATCAATCTTCCTACAAGTGCTCCATGATCCGACCCATAGATTATTTCCACTCATAATACCAGCTGGCACTTTTCCCATTGCATCGAACACATTGAAAATCCAATGTCTCTCGGATTTCTTCTGCTGAAATAGCGGTGTGCATTTGCAGTCCGAGCAATTTTTGTGCTCCTCAACGTGTGTTGCATACTCGACACCGGTCCATGCCAAATGCATCATGTCCCCGACGCATGCTGGAAAAATACAGTAATCCAAAATCAGAATATTGGCAATATAGATTAGAATTCGCAGAGACGCAGATAGGTAGAACGCCTGGAGACTCGCAACCCTTAACGTTAAACTTTGAGCCCCGTTAGCTTGGTTCTTGTGAAAGATATCAAAAAGTTGTCAACTGATAAATTGTTCATCGTAATATCACCAACGTTTTATCAGTTGACTTATTTTTGATATCTTGCATAGGAACCGAGATAATTTATTCCAAACTTGGCAGTGGGGGAGCCCTTCTATTAGAGTTAACTCATTTCACAAAAAAGCTTTAAACTACAAAAATAGAGTTCTTCCTTTGATTCAGTATTTCTAAAAAATTTAAATTGAATGAATAAGTACAAAGTACTTTTGTAGACACACTAAGTTGACCGATTCCCACTGCCGTATTTCCTCTGGTAGAAGGCCACCCTGTCAACTGTGAGCTCAATTATCTTGGTTCCTGTGAAAAATATCAAAAATCTGTTAACTGATAAATCATTTATCACAATATCGCAAACATTTTTTCAGTTGACACATTTTTGATATCTCTTACAGGAATCGAGATAATTAAGCTCAAAGTTAACGGTTTGGGAAGGCTTTTATCGGAGAAAATACCGTTAATTTTTCATTTTGAAATCGTTTTTTTCAGATTTTCGATTCATCTGAAAAGTTCAGAGGATACTTAACAAAAACATAACTTTGTTTTTGTAGTTGAACATTTTTTTGCCAAACACCTTTCCAAAGAAATAAGTTGTTTGTTACCAAAAAAAGTCAGAAATGCGAATACAAGCACTAAAAAGAGAGTTGTGCTATTTTAAAACCGCTTATCTCGCTTTGTCAAATTTGTACAAAGAAGTTGTCAATTGCAAAAATGAAGCTCTAATTTTAATTAGTATACTCTCAAATTTTCAAAAAAATCGAATAGTTTTGAACTACTATTGTAGGACAATAAAGCTTGTATGCCAAACTAAATTATTTCGGTTCCTGTAAAAGGTATCAAACAGCTGTCAACTGATAAAATATAGGTGATATTATGATAAACAAATTATCAGTTGACAAATTTTCGAAATCTTTTTTAGGAACCAAGAGAATTGAGCTCAAAGTTGACGGTTTGGGTTGACTTCTATTTTTCCTATACCTACCCGTTGAGTTCAATTATCTCGGTTGCTATAAATAATATCAAAATTTTGTCAACTAATAAAATATAGGTGATATTATGATAAATGATTTATCAATTGAAAATTCTTGATACCTTTTGAAGGATCCGAGAAAATTGCCTAATTGATAATACTCACCCATAGAAATATCAAATTCTCTCAACTTCTCCACCATCTCCACTGCATATTTCATCAATTCCAGATTTCCCTCCTCTGCTCCATCTCTATAAGCTTCGGCGTAATTGAAAAAGTGTCTAAAAACGTCCAAATCCAAAATCAACTGAGCATCCGAATCAGCCATATATCTCGAGAAAACCGATCCCATTGCTTTCGTATCCGATTCATCATAATCCAATTCTTTGCTCGAGAATAGGGATCCATCGTATTGATAGCTGGACTTTGAGTTTGATATTGTGATTACTGGAATTTCGAAATTTTAAGTTTTAACTTTCTATTATACTTACATGAAACCAGTATTGCGAAGAACAGCGGCCTCCGCATTCTACCCATTTTTTCGTCTTCTGAAAGTCCAAATTCAAAAAAAAAACTATAAAAAATACATATTGCAACAAAAAAGCGCACAAGAGTTGAACAGATTAGACGAAAAAGTGTCAAATCAAAAGAGAATCGTGTCGGCGTCGTTTTTTGCTCTTATAATTGCTGGGTTATCAGAGAGTGATAAGAAAGAGTTGGAGAGGGTAAGGGTATGCTGCTCTCTGTATATGTAAATCTATGTCTAATTCTCTTTTGTTTAATCAATTGGAGCATCGACCGCAAGGAATGGAGGAGAACATAATCGAAAGAGACCTTTTGGAAAGTGCAATTAGACTGGAAGAAGAGAAACTAGAAACGAAGGATTACTTTTGATAGGTCACTGTAGAAAGTCGTGAGAATTGGAAAGATCAAAAAAGGAACTTCAATGAGTATTCGAAAGTTGTCAAAATATTATTTCTGACAAGTTTCGGAAAGTTTAGAAATTGTAGAGCCTCTAATAGAAGCCCACCCAAACCGCCAACTTCGAGCTCATATATATCGATTCATATAAAAGATATCAAAAATGTGCCAACAGAAAAAATGTTTATCATGTTTTCACCAATATTTTATTAGTTGACTATTTTTTGATATTTCTTATAGGAACCGAGATAATTGAGCTCAAAGCGTTCATGTAGGGTGGGATTCTATTAGAGCATTTACAATACACGTAAACTTTGAGCTCAATTATCTCGGTTCCTAAAAGAGATATCAGAATTTTGCTAACTGATAAAATTGTTATCACAACACCACTAACATTTTATCAGTTGATTACTTTTTGATATCCCTTATAGGAACCGAGATAATTGAGCTCAAAGTTGAAGTACAAAGTGGGCTCCTATTAGAGAATTTTCGGTAAATTTGGTGAAAGTCTGTTTGGTACATTTTTTTGTTTTTGAAATTTGAATCCTGTAGGCATTACTGTAGAATAATTAAAATTTCCGGAAAGGCAAATGCTTTCCATTTCCAGTTCAATTCACCGTAAATAACATATAGCCTATCGAAACGTCAACTTCGAGCCCATATATCTCAGTTCCTATGAGAGATATCAAGAAGGAGTCAACTGATAAAATGTTTATCATAACATCACCTATATTTTATTAATTGATAAAATTTTGATTGCTTTCTCAGGAACCGAGATAATTGAGCTCAAAGTGCACGTATAGTGAGAAGGGGTTATATCAGAGCATTCACGGTAACAGTCAACTTTGAACTCAATTATCTCGTTGTTTCTATGAGAGATATAAAAATACCGTCAACTGATAAAATATTGATCATAATATCATAAACATTTTATCTGTTGGCTTATTTTTGATATCTTTTACAGTAACCGAGATAATTGAGCTCAAAGTTGAGGAGCTTTCTTTTACAGGTTTTACACTAATCAAACGCTATAAATCAATTCCCGAAAAGTGCGAAAACCCTTAAAATGTGATGATTTGTTGTTTATCAAAAAATAGAAGGAACGAAACAATTGTGTTGTTTTTTGCTATATTTATTTGATCAGTTTGTGTCTTTTTGGTCGGTTCACTATTCTCTCCTCATTTTTCTGTTTGAGAAGAAAAACATGGTCTTTTTGACTCAAAGTTTTGAGTTTCATCACTTTTTTTGAAGTGGAGAAATGTTTTAAAAAACAGGTATGAGCAAGAAAAGAAAACTGAAGGAATCTACTAGAAATTGGGGAACCGAAAGGTGTTGGGACATGAAAAAATCTCCGGAAATCTCCTTAAAAAGTTGAAAAAAGTTTCCAAAAACCTTCCCAGAAAAATCAAAAACTTGTCATCGGAAATCAAAAAAAAGGATGACTAATTGGTATGCCCGTTGAATGCATTGTCCATGTTTTCTGTTCCTCTCATATGTCTCCGTCTCTCTTCCGCACCTTTTTTCCTTACTCTGTTCCGTTCGGTTTTTGTGATAGAATCAATGGAAAGGTGAGAAGAGGAGACTGTCCTTGTCCACTTCCACTCCAGGAAGAAGACTTAATTAACTTAAAAGAGAGAGAGAGAGAGAGAGAGAGAGAGAGAGAGAGAGAGAGAGAGAGAGAAAGAGGATTAGACGCTCCGCTGAACGCAAGTTTTACGAATTGAGAGAGAAATCGAAAAAAAACGAACCGTAAAACAAGGAAAGGACAGAAAAGCGGAAAGAAGAGAGGAGAGAACTTGACGTATTGCAACAGTAATTGGAAGAGAAAGGTGTGATTTGATTGGGGATTGATAAGAAGAGGAGGAGAAGAAGAAGACATAGATTGAAGTGTTCATGACAACAGAAATTGAAATTTCATAAAAAATGAGAATCAAAAGACAAGCTATTAGGAAGAAAATTCTAGAAAAATTGTTTCCAAATCGATCGATGTCAGCTTGCTGGAGTGATGGCGAATCTGGAAGAGAATTAGTACCAAGAATGACAAAAAATGAGATTTATGAAATCAGAAAAAAATGGTAAAAATCAGAAAAATTTTATCGAAATAATTTAGGAGTATAAGAACATTGGTATTTGAAGAGGAAAGGTTGGAAGGTGAAGATCATTAGAAGAGTTCACAAGATAAAATATCGGGTCCTTCGATTACGACGGCGGTGGTGGTGGTGGGATCATTCCGTGTCCGGATGGTGGTGCTGGTGGACGACTTGGCGGCGGTGGTGGATACATTCCTGGTCCAGCTGATGGATAGCGTGGTGGCGGTGGTGGCGGCATTCCGGGGGGATATCTGGAAGGAAAAGGGTTGAAACTATTTACCGTTAAACCTGTATTAGAAGGGTCTCTTCATTAGAAGGACCCTTCTAATAGAAGGGCCCTCCGGAGGTACCTTGAAACAATGGGAGGGCCGACTCTTCTAACACAGGTTTTACGGTATTTATCTAAATTCAAAAGAAAAGTCTCACCTCATCCCTGGCGGCGGCGGTGGTGGCATTCCACCCATCCCCGGTGGCCCGAATCGCGATGGTGGTGGTGGTGGCGGCATTCCAGGCATCCCTGGCGTCCTTCCTGGTGGTGGTGGCGGCGGTGGCCACATGCCAGATGATGGTGGTGGTGGCGGACGAGGTGTCATGCCTGGCGTTGGTGGCATCGAGGCATAGGTGGTGGCATTGGAGTGACACTCGGTGGTGGTGGTGGCACTGGTGGATACTGTCCTGGATATCCATTTGCTGGCATTCCCATCAGTGGTGGTGGCTGATAGCCAGGTCGTCCTGTAGCGTGTGCAGCAATCGCAGCATGAACTCCTGGAATGGCAAGAGGGGTGTTGGCTGGGACACCGAGTGGAACATCAGAGAACACTTGATGTGGACGATCTTTGGGGAACAGAGGATTCTGTGAAGCCAACATTCTCTCGGCTGCAGTTCCGTGTCGTTCTCCTTTCGAATCTCTCTTGAATGCATATGATACTGTGATAGCTCGATTACACAAGAACTGCCCCCTCATCGCTTCTAACCCCCTATCCGATGCTTCGAACGACGCAAAGTTGATGAAGGCGAATCCTTTGGATGTGCCTGAATCGACGTCTCTCATGATTTTGGGCACTTGAAGGATGACTCCAAAGGCACTGAACGTGTCGTACAGCAGTTTTTCGTCGACTTCTGGATCCAAGTTTCCCACAAAAATGTTCGCTCCAACATCCATATTTTTCTCATGTGCAGACGCTTTGTTCACCTAAAAATTTCATTTATTGATTTTCTTAACAATCAGCCAACCCCTACCTTAATAGGCTTTCCATACAACTTGATCATGTTCAGAATTTTGATCGCATAGTCCGCATCCTCTTCTCCCATGAATTCTACGAAACCGAATCCCTGATGATTGGCGGTGACTCGATCTTTTGGCATGTTCACACTGACCACTGGTCCCGCTTGTACCATGAGCTCCCATAGAATCGCTTCTGACACCTTCTCGTCTAGGCCACCGACATAGATGGTGGCGTCCTGGTTCCGTTCCACTATAGGACCTGCTGACATCTGGAAATCAATAAAATTTTTAGGTAACTCATATTTTGGTACAAAAAATCGAAGTTGTGGTACTCAACTACAGTAACCTCAAAATGCTTGAATTTTCACTGATTTTCGTCGATTTTTCTGTTATTTTGAGTTCAGAACACCAGTGAAAAATTGACTGAAAATTCGCGAAAAATATAAGCATTTTTAGGTTATCAGCATAACAGCCAAAAGCAAAAAATATATTTGAAAAAATCATAAATAGAAATATGAAAGGTTATGAAACCTTTAAAGGGAAAAAATCAGAAAACAAATAGATAAGATAAGATAGGCACAAATTGGACCTTTATTTGACACAAATTAGTTTTCAATTTCAAAAAATTCTAAATTTGAGATTCTAAAAATCAGAGATCCTCTTCATCCTCCTTTGGCGACTTTTCCTTCTGCTCCTCGAACTTCCGCGTTTCCTTCAATTCTTCCGACGAAACTAAAGTTTTGAAAAACTTTGAAAACTCCAACGAATCTCCCTTCTCATCCCACTCTTGACGATTAATGAACGGAAGATCCACGGCTTCTACTAGTTCTTGACTACACATCCATGCATGCGTTTGTGGGTCTTTCACTTCACCTGACACGCGAATTCGATATTCAGCAGGCAACATCGATGTGACTTCTTTCTGAAGACGTTCTCGGAAGCCTGGGAAGCAAGTGGATCCTCCAACAACAATGATATTTTCCGCGAGACTTGGTCTTAGCTCTTCTGCACAATGGAATATGGATTCGACGACGGCTTCTGCCACACCACACTGGTCGATATCAATGTCAGAAGGGCTGAAAAATCGCTTTTGGCGGGTTACTGTATTTAAAGCTACACACAGTGAAACCTGTAGGACCCTCACACTGTCAAGTTTGAGCTCAATTATCTCGGTTCCTATGAGAGATATCGAAAATGTGTCAACTGATAAAATGCTTGTGATATTATAATAAACAATTCATCAGTTTACATCTCTTTCATATCTTTGACAGGAACCGAGATGAATTGGCTTATTGTTCAAAGTCAAGGGGCCCTTCTATTACAGGTTTTACGGCGATTTCGCGTTTCATGAAAAGAAAACAACAATAATCTCACTTGAATAGAATCTCAGGTGTTGCGAATCGCTCAACACCCAGCACAATCGATGGCATGTTGTCAGTGGGCTCTCGCGGATCTTTGACGACTCCTTTGAACGTTTTGTGAAAATCCGGCATCACGTATCGTCTGTCGAGTGCGTTCTCATCGAATCGCTTCCTGAAAATCATTGAAATTCTATAATATTTTATTGAGGAATCATCTACTTTGATTCTTTCATACTCTCGTTAAAATCCAACGACACAAAGCATAGGTCTTCCTTGCATTCGTTGATAACATAAGTTTCTTCACTGACATTCAACTGCCGGTATGATATCCAGTCTTTCAACTTGTTCGTTAACGCCTTTCCACCTACATCAATCCTCATTACACTTTCCTGAACGAGCATTCCATCGACAAACGAAGCCACCGTCGTCATTGAGAATCCCGAATCCACAACACAAACGCATCGCCGGCCATTCACTTGTCTGGAGTGCTCTGCAACCAACGTAGAAGCAGAAGCTTTGAAAACTTCATTGAATCCAAACTGCTCGAAAAAGATCTCATTAGAGACATCAGGAAGCGCAGGAATCAGATAGTTATTGTCAGTGTAGACGATTCGCGATGTGGTTGGTTCTACATCGAGATGATCGAAAGTTTTCTCCCAGATTTGTTGCTGTGTATCCCAATTGACAACGTATCCTCTCTCGATGGGTCTTACATAGAATAAGGAGAACTTCTCCGAGCAATCCTCTTGTTCGTGTCCCACAAATACTCGTTTCCTCTCGTGTTTCGCCTTTACGATGCTGTTTGGAATTAATTTTGGAGTATCCCAATCTGATTTTCCCACTTTCATATTGTGCGCTCCATTGTCAAGAATGACGGTGGTCTCGGACATCTGAAACCCGGAATTATTTTTTGCAGGAAATTTCGGCAAAATCGGGTTAAAACTGTAAAATTTGACCGTTTTTTTTACCATTTTTGTCTCCCAAGATTCTAATAAATTTGCTTTAAAATTATCAAAAATCGGCAAAACCTAAAAAAAACGAAGTAGACTGAAATTGAGAAAAAAAAAGGAATAAGAAACAGTTAGAATACCGTAAAGCCTGTATTAAAAGCGCCCCTTCAATTCAAGGATCCCTCTCATAGAAGGGCCCTATCCTTCTAATACAGGTTTTACAGAAAGAGTAAAAACCATAATTTTTGGGGAAATCGGTTTCCGAAATAATTTTTCAGGACATTTCGGGAAATTGTATTTCAATCAATTTTTGGCCGTTTTTTTACTATTTTTGTCTCACAAGAGTCCGATAAATTTGGTTAAAAATGGACAAAAAATGGTAAAAAAATCGGCAAATTCTGGAAAAACCAAATTCGAAGAATATTTGTTTCCGGAAAAATTTCACCGAATCTTGAAAAACAAAAGGCACAGAACCAGAAAAAAGCGCAAATCCCGGAAAAAATGGGAAAATAAGGGAAAACGGGAGTTCCGAAGTCTGCAAATCGCAGATAAAAAATATATAATCGGCTTGGTAACCAAATGATAAGAAAGAAACTTTTCAAAAAAAAACTATCACAAATTTAGTGGCATATTCTGTGTTAATACTCGAGTAGTGAGAACCCGGTTAGTGGAATTTGAATTTGAATATTTGAAAAACCAAAAAAAAAAAAAATAACCTCTATGAAAAAAACTAAATGAACCAGATAAAAGATAAAAAAGATGAAATGATTAAAGTCCCCAAGTGAGCCGTCCCGTGCCTCCAGCATTCCGTTGAAGGTACTGTTGAATCCGCGCCACTTCCTCATCCTTCTTGTCCATCTCACCAACCGGTGTCCAACTTCTATCATACTCCAAGCGATACGATCCCAGATACTCCTCCTTCTTCTCCTGATATCCCCACTCATTCGGTGCCAACATCGAAAAATACTTATCCATGCTTCCCTGCTTCTGATACAAATGATAAATGCGTCCGGCTTGTTTCTGCATGTTGCAAGGGACGTTGTGTAGCTCCTCGTCTCGTTGAGCATCCTCTAGAACTGCTCTCGCTGCCATATGCAGTTGTTCCATTTGATCGGCGATTTGCTTCAGACGATCGCATGCTCTCCCTTTTACCAATTGTCGAGCACTGCTTAGCTGATTTGCCAGAGCCACCAGGTCATCAGCATCGATTTTGTCGGTTTGGCGAGCACTGGTGACCAATCGCTGCTCATCGCTTCGGGATTGGACCAGGGGAACGTTAACTGAAAAGAAGGACTCGATAAAATACATTTTTTCAGCTGTATTTGCTGGAATTTGAAGCCAAGCCAATTTAGCCCATTTTTAGGCATTTTTAGAAGATTTTCAGACTTTTTTAAGAAAAATTGGAAAAAAAAACTTTAAAAGTAACGGATTTTGGGGCATTTTAAACCGACTTTTTTTTGACAAATTTCCGAAAAAATTGAAGCTCGAAAACGAAATTTTTTCGAGCCAAAAATCCAAGAATTTTTCGCCGCATTTCAACCATTTCTCAGCTTTCAGGGCACTTATTTAGCTCCTTTTTTCACCTTTTTCGCCACTTTGAGGCAGTTGAACTAGTGGCAAGTTGCTTTCCATGTCCACATCTGTTACCTCCATCTGAAAGCATTCATTTTTCTTGTCTTGCCTCCTGAAATATTCAAATATTGCTGAAAGGTTAGGCTCAACCGAAGCTAAAAAATCAAAACACAGAAAAAACTGATAAAAATTGTTTATTTGAACAAATAGAGAAAGAGAGATAGAGCAATAAATAATTTAGTCTTTGATACCCATTCCGTAAAACATCTATTTATTTATGTTCAATCCATCGACTCATCCTTCAGTTTGAGTACGGTTTTATCGGTGTTAAGAGCTGGCTTCTTCGCGCGAGCCTCGGCTTTCTGGTAGGCGTCGTTGATGAGTCCGACGAGCTTTCCCTCCTTGGCGAGAATCTTGAGAAGCTGAATGACGAACGGGGTGTAGTTGTGGCGCCGTCGAGCGTTTTCCTTTCGGTATCTGGAATATTTTATTATTTAAAAACATCTCGAAATTCTGGGATTTCTACGAACGTTGTCATCTTTCTCTCCTCTTCTTGAATGTTGATAGTGATATCAGTGATTTGCTCATCAAGTTCACCGTTCTCATTAGCTTGAGTCAGCGCATCCAACATCTCTTGATATTTTTGCTGGCGATTTGGAACGAGTGCCATCAAATTGAAAGTGATCTCGCCTTGGCTGTACTTTGCCATTCGTTCTTGAATGATTGGCCTAACAGCCTCAACCCAATCCTTTCCATCTGGGAGATCGGAAACTTCGAGAGGAGCTTCACGGAGCCCATCCAACTCGAAAACTTTGTCACCAATTGGAACATATGTGACAAAGTGATAGTTGTCCTCGGAATCGCCTCCCTTGACATCAAGCTCAAAGAGCGTTTGACGAGAAAAGCTATTATGAACTGTACGAATATCTTCGCAGTTTGATAGACAAAGTCCACGAGTAGCTGGATCCATATCAATCGCGAATTCTTTGTACTGGGTGAGAATTGGTCCAAGCTTGACGGCTGGATCGCTGACGTTCATCAGGAGATTGATCAGCGCCTGTGTAGCACACGCATTCTGGATGACTTGTTGTGCGAAGAAAATGTTTTCTTTGGTGCTTGGAACTCCTGCTCCTTCGTCTCCTTGACGCCATTTGAACAGGAAAATCAAACCGTAGACGGGTCTGAACACCAGCAAATTTCATATTAAATTCAATAATTACACTTACTTCATTAGGGCCTTGTCATCATCGAGCGACCACAACTCTTCGACTTGCAATCCATCAACTGCGAAACCGCGGAGCATTTCTGTGAAAACTCCAGGGTCACTCTCGATGAGACACCAATTTCCAGCGTCTGCCATCTGAAAATAGAACACTTGATTGATTTTTTTAAGAGGAGAAATCTTTTAAAAAGTCAGAAAAGAGACAATTATCGACTAATTAATTCGCAAAAAATAGCTGTTGGATTTTGAAAATCTTGTCACCCTGTGCGATGGGGCGCGATTTGCTCGGCCAAGCGGTTTCCTAGGCCACCAAATCGAATTTTTTTGTTTTGAAAAAAACATTTTTCTAAACACTAAATTAATATTTTTCTGTTTGAATTGGTTATGAAAAACTGAGAAAACTAAAATTTGTCAATTTGCAATTAATTAAAGCTGCATAATTCTGTGATTAATTCCTCCAAACTGTGCTGGCCTAGAAAATTACACTGATACGTGGATTTACAGAATAATTGAAATTTTGCTCGAATTTCGCTGAAATTTATGTGAAATATGAATGAAAAATACGCTAAAAGCTCGATAACTCCGACTTTTGTCAAAATGAAAGAGACAGAGAAGGTTTCGAAAACTGTAGAAAAGCACAAAACCACCATCGATCTCTCAGTACCATGGAATCAGTCGTTGACAACTATTACCACACTTGCCGTGCTGATTTGTTTCCAAATTGCTATTTCCTTAAACCCGCACTCCGGCGAATCTCAACCACCGATGTATGGAGACTACGAAGCGCAAAGACATTGGATGGAGATCACTTTCAACCTCCCGATCGAGCATTGGTACGTAAATGGAAGCCACAACGATCTTCTCTACTGGGGACTCGACTATCCGCCGTTAACAGCTTATCATCATAATCTTCTAGGTGTTATGTAAGTTTTATTTGAAGATTTGTTTCAATTTTTAAAAATTTTTAGAACCTACAAAATCAACAAAAGATGGGTGGAATTGAGAGATTCGCGAGGATTTGAGTCAGTGGCTCACAAGATTTTTATGAGGGTTTCTGCGATCGTTCCATTCTACATCTTCTATCTCCCTCCGCTTATCTATGCACTGATGAGTTCTAAGAAGACGTCACCGGTTTTGTATCCACTTTCTTTGCTATACCCCGCGTTGTTGGTCATTGACAATGGGCATTTTCAGTGAGTTATTTGATTTTAAGAGAATAATTTATGAGAATTTCAGATACAACAGTGTTTCCCTCGGCTTGTTCCTTTTTGCATACATCTTCTTAATACAAAACTGGACTCTGCTGGGCTCCATGTTCTTCGTTGCTGCGTTGAACTACAAGCAAATGGAACTCTACCACGCGCTTCCAGTCTTCGTCTTTATCCTATCCAGATCTATCAACCAATCCCAGCCACTGGGTACTATTCTGAAACTTGCCAAAATCGGAGTAATGGTCCTCTCAACGTTCCTAATCATCTGGCTCCCATTCATCCTTACCGAAACTGCTAAAGACGTTTTAATCCGAGTTTTCCCATTCAATCGAGGACTCTACGAAGACAAAGTGGCCAGTTTTTGGTGTGCGTTTTCTTTTGTTTTGAAGCGACTTCCAATCGTTCAAAATGTGCAGATTTATTTGAGGTAATTATAGCAATTTTCATATATATATATTTTTTTTTGATATCAAAATTTTCAGCACCGCCCTCGTGATGATATGCTCTTTACCTTCGCTGGTCTCCTTGTTTCTACAGCCATCAGAAAGGAACTTCCGACTATCTTTAACTACAACGGCACTTTCTTTCTTTTTGTTTTCTTTCCATGTACATGAAAAAACGATTCTCCTTGCCACCATCCCTGCACTTCTCCTACTACCTGAATACCCATCTCTAGTCATTCTGTTCTTGAATATTTCCAACATTAGCATTTTCAGCTTATGCATCAAAGACAATTTCCCCTTTGCTCTAGTGTTTTTCTTCGCTTATTTTGTAGTTTCTTATTCCGTATCGGTTTATAACAGAGAGGCAAAGCCCCTTCACATTCTATCAATTTCAATTGGCTTTCTAATTTGTATCCTTGAGATGTACGGGCCAGCCAATCAACGGTTCCCTCACATTTATCAGTTGGCGAACGCCTTCTTCAGTTGTTTAAATTTTCTCTATTTGTTAGTTTCTTTCACTATTGCTGCTTTTGAAAAAGTGAAAAAGGAATGAATGTTATTCCTCTTCAGGACCGGCTATGCGCATTGAAAGAAATTTCTGGCCACAATTTTCATCACCGCCGCTCTTGGGTTCAAGCGAGGGGGTCAGAAAGCGCGCCCCAGTAAATTTAGGAAAAATTCTAAATTCGCTGCCGAATTTCGTTGGCTGAGTTTCACACTTTTAAATGAAGAGCGAAAAAGCGCGCCTTGCAACCAGTTGATTTTGAAGAAATAGATCATGACCTAGATCAAACCCGCGTCCACTTTAAAATTATTAAATTTCTTCTGGCCTAGTTTGCTGGGGCGCGCTTTCTGACCCCCTCGCTTGAACCCAAGTGTCGGTCAAGGATAATAAAATTCTCAGTTTTTTCGTCGTTATAAAGTTCAAGAAGCTTGTTTTGAACACTTGTCACTGGCGCTTTTTTTTGTGTGGTAAATACTAAACAATGCGCACTACGACACTCCGAAATCCCGCTGCGTCTCCTCTCACCGCTACATTCATTTTTTGGCAATTTTGTTTTTACTACTCTCATTCCGCTTGCTCATCACCGATATTTGCTCTTCTGAAATAATAGTTTCCTTCTCTTTTCCCTTTTCAGTTCCTCTTAAAACCTAGAATTTCGATAAAACAGGCTAAAACCTAAATACACAAGCATGTGCCGTTGATCAAGGTCAGGTGCAAAATTATTACCTTTAATGAAGAAAATTGTGCAGTATTCTTTGTTATAGCTTCTGACGTCACTTTTTTTCAAGATTTTTCAAAATTTTGGGTTTTCTGACAGAGAAGGAAAAGCACTTGACTTTTATAATCCTAGGGTTTAACAGACCGAAAAGAAACGAATGAGCCAAAAAAGGGATCATTCTCTGTCATTTTTCAACCCATGAAACACTCATCTCTCTATTCTTTCTTTTCTTCCTTCCATAATGCACAATTTCCGGTGCTCTCTCTCTCTATGCCAAAGATGAGCACACCATTTATTAGTTTCTGCATTGCTTTTTTTCTTCTTGCGACGACGAGATGCATACATCGCGTGCCTGTCTAGTACATCTTCATTACGTTTCTCAAGTGGTCCTGGCTATTCTCCTCCCCCGTCCTTCTCCGAGTGTTTTTAAAAACCATCTTTTCCAGACGGTATGGTACGGGTGAACGACTCAAACGACACAAATACCAGTTCCGAACACGAAGACTCTTCATCAAACTACGTACGGTTGGCTGGCAACGGTCTCCCGGGTGGCGAGCAACAGGCAAGCTCATCCGGTGTAGCCGCTGCACCGACGAATGAGAATAGCAGTCCAGGAAGATCGAATCAGCTTGCTTTGCCCTCCTCGTCAACGGCAGCAACCACATCTTCAAGTCAATATGTGATTCCTCTTGATGAGAACAGTCACAGATATGTTGGACTTGTCAATCAGGTAAGCCTAACATTGCCTACAGTAAATACCGGTCGATAAGATACTGTAAAACCTAGAAGGACCGGTCCCGTAAATTGTCGTCTAAAAATTCGGTAAATTGTCGTTCCGAATCCATGAAAACCTATAACGAAATTGAGCAGTTTCACTCTTTTTTCCCGAAATTTTGGGATTCCCAGAGTGTTTTTCACTGAAAGCGGACGGGAAAACTTCACTTACCAACAACACATTTCGTAGGGGCCCTTCTATTAGAGGGACCTTTCTAATACAGGTTTTACGGTATTTCAGGTGATTTTCGGGCATTTTATGGAACCTGTACCTTGGTTGTCAAGCTTCCGATCAGTCTAAAACTTTAGGATGGTGTGATATAGACCTAGGTCGAAAACTTTGCATTCACAAAATTTTTTGGAATTTCCATTTTTAAAAGACACATGTTTCTCATAAAGTTCCCGATATGGTTTTACGTTCTCCAAATATTTCAAAGTAATCGAAAACCTGACAGCTAAGCTCTAGACTCCTGAAATACACGTTTTTGTATGTCTAAAAGACTGGTACTGTAATTAAATGATTAATTTAACATTGTCTATTCAATTGAAAATTCCAGGCGATGACGTGCTATCTCAACAGTCTGGTACAGTCTCTCTACATGACACCCGAATTCCGCAATGCAATGTACGAATGGGAGTACGTCCAATTGCCGGCACACATCAAGGAACAGAGGAAGAAAGCTGAGCAGAGCATTCCTTGCCAACTTCAAAAGCTCTTCCTCCTACTTCAAACCACGGAAAACGACTCGTTGGAGACAAAGGATTTGACACAGAGCTTCGGATGGACATCAAATGAAGCGTACGATCAGCATGACGTTCAAGAACTGTGCCGTCTGATGTTTGATGCGTTGGAGCACAAGTGGAAAGGAACGAAGCATGAGAAGCTGATTCAGGACTTGTACAGAGGTACCTTGGAAGATTTTGTGGCTTGCTTGAATTGCGGCCGAGAAAGTGTCAAGACGGACTACTTTCTGGATTTGTCGCTTGCCGTGAAGCCATTTGGAGCCATTCACGCCTACAAAAGCATCGAGGAAGCGCTCAATGCGTTTGTCCAACCAGAACTTCTCAACGGCTCCAATCAGTACATGTGCGAGAACTGCAAAAGCAATCAAGACGCTCATAAAGGACTCCGCATCACACAATTCCCATATCTCTTGACAATCCAGCTGAAACGCTTCGATTTCGATTACAACACAATGCATCGTATCAAGCTGAACGATAAGATGACGTTCCCAGATGTGCTGGATTTGAATGAATATGTGAGTAAGGAGAAGCGTCCGGCGCCTACACCTTCAGCAACCACCACCACCACAACGTCACCACCGAAATCAGCATGGAAAACGATTCCAGCGAAAGACGAGGATGACGATATGGAGCTGGGATCACCGAATGCGAAGAGAAGCACGCCAGGAAATCAATCTCCGAACCGGTACAGCTCTCGAGGCGATGAGAATGGTAATTTCAGTTATTCAACTTTTAAAAATTTAAATTTCAAAATTTCAGTGATCGTTGGCCAGCCAATCGATCATGAATCCGTGGAGAGCATTATGAAGACCAATGGTGAAGACGTCTACGAGCTATTCTCCGTGATGGTCCACTCTGGCAACGCTGCAGGTGGCCACTACTTCGCCTACATCAAGAACTTGGATCAGGATCGGTGGTACGTGTTCAACGACACGCGGGTCGACTTCGCCACTCCCAGCGAAGTGGAGAAGAGTTTTGGAGGACACCCCAGCGGATGGAATCAGTCCAATACGAATGCATACATGCTCATGTACAGAAAGGTAAGCTTTGTTGCTGTTCTATACATTTCTAAATGATTTTTAATTTCAGATCGACAGAAAACGGAATGCCAGCTTCATCCTCAGCAACCAATTGCCTCAACACATCAAGGATTCTCGAGAGAAATGGAAGAGGCTGGAGCAAGAGGCTGAGGAGGAGCGTCTTCGCAAGTTGAGTCTGATTCAAGTCTACGTCAATATCAACTATCCATTCCCGTCGTATGCGCATCTCCCGGAAAAGAAGCAACTCGATTTAACGCCACAGAAGTATCAAATCGCCGATGACTTCTGCGAGTACAAAATTGAAATATCGAGAGAGCAGCCGATCAAATCCGTGTTCCAATGTGCCTTTGATTTTTTCAATGAGCGTGCTCGTGCCTACAACTTGCCTTTCTCCAGAAACAATTCTCGTCTGATCTACGTTGAACACGGACAGCTGGAAATGGATTTTCGGTCTCCAAAAGACATGGAAAAGAAACTGAGGTCGGTGTTCAGTTCGCATCACGGTGAACCAATATCCATGTACGGTGTGCACTTCATCCTCGATGTTCGTATTGGTTCTTCATTCTTTAACATCGACATCCAGAATAGGATGACTATAAAAGTACAACGTGTGGATATCGGAAAGAAGACGACTGCTAATGAGCTGACTATCGTGATATCAGGAGATGAGAAAATGCTGAAAGTGAAGCAATGGATTGGTACTCAGTTCAGAGATGACATTCGTGATGTATTGGAGGCAAGAGTCGTACTGGAAGCCGCTTCATCTAGATGTGAATTCATGCTGATTGATAGTCAGCATAATTCTAAGGAATTCCGAAGTCTTATATCGCAGCACATGGGACATGCAACACCTACACTCTACTACGATGGTGGCATGAGCACAATGATCACAGAAGAGTCGAAGGAAGCAACAATTGCTGATCGGAAACTTCCATTCGAAAAGTCCCAGATGTACCAGATCCTTGATAGAAAATGCTTCTCAACATTTGTCAAAGTTCGCCTGCCATCACAAGATGAAGTTGAGAAGGCGGCATCAACGAAGAACGCGTTCCAAGGACCAAGTTGGGAAGAGACTTTGGCCATCATGAAAGCGGAAGATCGACTGTGGAATGAGCCACGAGCAGCAGCAGTAGAAGTGATGTCTACAGTATCCAGAGCCGAGACAACTGATGCAGTGGTAAGAAATTTACTAAGACTCAACAATAACTGATACAATACTACAATTTTTTCCAGACTGAAGTAGATGATGAGCCTATCCCATCCGGAAGAGGGTCTACAGCATCAATGCGTTCTGTGAGCATGGATGACATTGAAGGAGACATTGGTATATCCGGAAGTCTGTGCAACAACACACCGCAGATGTCCCCATGTGTATCTGAGGGAGACGACATTGATGAGAAGGCATTGGACGGTAAATCCCAGCTTATGGCTGATTACATGCAGAAGACAAGTCCCGAATTCTACTACAATCGAGATCCACAGAGCCCTGTGAACAAAAACTTGAAGATTGCTCTCCACGAGGAGACCCCATCGGAAGCATTGTCGGCTGTCAGCAGTGGACAATCAACACTCGTTCCTTCCACTTCGAATCAAGCTCTCTCCAGTATGGCTCGTAGTGCGATAGATGAAGCTTTTGATGCCAAGATAACAACAGTGTTCTCTCATGAGAACTACCACAAACTCGACGTGGATAGTAGAATGAGAGTAGTCGAGTTCAAGAAATGGGTCGCCGAGCAGTTGAACATGGACAAAGATCAGTTCGTGATTGTGAAGCACGCGTCGGATGATGGATCGGATACTGGATATGAGACCAACTTCATGGATGATGAAACTGTTTCTGGTGCGTTCCAATCATGCTTCATATCTATCAAACTGCGAGCACCATTGAAGCAGGATGAGAAGATGATTCAAGTCATTCTGTTTGATATGCTTGAGAATCAGAGAGACAATTGGAAGCCACTCTTCGAACTCCCTGTATCCCAGAGCACGGTTATTGGTGACATCCTTTTGCAATGCATTCGAATGTACAATGAGGTGTATGGAGAGGAGCTCACACCGAAAGCAGTCCGGCTACGTGACGTCTCCACTACAGGGCACTACAATGCGAAGGCGATTCTCAACCCAAATGACACTTTGGAGAAACGAGGATACAACTGGTGCTCGCACATCTACATGCAGATCGTCACCGATGAAGCAGTGCTTGGTAAGCCTGGAGATCCAATTTTGGTGAGGAGGTTCCGCCCGTCGACCGTAGAAGTCAGTCCGACGCACGAGGTGCTTGTCGATTCGAATGCCGAGAATCCTGTTTTGTCGTTTATGGAAGCGCTGACTAAAGTGTCTGGAATTCCACTGGATCGGCTAGCAATCACAGAGGTTAGAGAATAGCTTCTTGGATATCTGAACAATGATTTTTTTCAGCCGAAAGAGTTCAATTGGCAGAAATGGCCATTTGTAAAGAGCCGTTTGGATATGTTGGAGAACAAGTGAGCTACCTAGACCATTATCCAATTGTTCAATTTCATTTTTTCAGAGTGGCATTCGCCAAGGATCTCCATCTCAACTACCCCAGCCCGAAGGATTTTGTCGAGAAGACTGGGAGTCGAGTTCTCTACTACAAGGATTCAGAAGAGGAGCCGAGAATTCTGACGGAGGACGAGCGCAAGCAGATCAAGATTAAAGAGAACGGGCAGTCGGCGAATGCGAATCGTCGAAAGGAGAGGCCACTTCGAATTCAGATGAGCAGTGTGTGTGAAGGCTAAACTTGGCTCTTCAAAATTCATTATTTCGTTTCTTCCGTTGTTTTTTTTTGTATCCTTTGATTATATTGAAATTCATGCTATGATGAATTCCATGCCTTTATTCCCTGGTTTTTTTCCCCCAGTTTTTTTTTCTATTTCTACCCCTGAGCACCCCCAAATGTTTCTATTCTCAGGGACATGAATAAAAGTGTAAAATCGAAGACTTGTGGTATTATTCTAATGTGTTAAGCTTTAAAATATTTCTCAAAATTTCACATAAAAATTATC